GGTTATTTTGCCCCAAGTGGCACAATTTGCTCCACAACAAAGTGCATGTCCAAGCATGTGCTCTGAGGCAAAAAGCCCCGGCTCAAATTTGCACTGCTTCTATTTGAGCTGCTGCAGGCACAAGTGCTTGCATGTGTGCATGCGCCCACCCACATTAACCTGCCACATGTAGCATGGGCATTCCCCGGGGACAAGTAGCAACAACACAAGGTGTGCCCTTGTTACTTGTCCGTGGGAAAAAAAATGTCTTCACTCATCTGGCTTGCATCCATAGATGCTTCTCAAGCAAATCCCGGGACGTCATTCTCCCCCTGTACTCGGCCTTAGTGAGGCCGCAGCTGGAGTACTGTGTCCAGTTTTGGGCTCCACAATTCAAAAAGGATGTGGAGAAGCTTGAGAGAGTCCAGAGAAGAGCCACGCGCATGATCAGAGGTCAGGGAAGCAGACCCTACGATGACAGGCTGAGAGCCCTGGGGCTCTTTAGCCTGAAAAAGCGCAGGCTCAGGGGTGATCTGATGGCCACCTACAAGTTTATCAGGGGTGACCACCAGCATCTGGGGGAACGTTTGTTCACCAGAGCGCCCCAAGGGATGACGAGGTCGAATGGTCACAAACTACTTCAAGATCGTTTCAGGCTGGACATAAGGAAGAATTTCTTTACTGTCCGAGCCCCCAAGGTCTGGAACAGCCTGCCACCGGAGGTGGTTCAAGCGCCTTCATTGAACACCTTCAAGATGAAACTGGATGCTTATCTTGCTGGGATCCTATGACCCCAGCTGACTTCCTGCCCTTTGGGTGGGGGGGCTGGACTCGATGATCTTCCGAGGTCCCTTCCAGCCCTGATGTCTATGAAATCTATAAAAAGGAGCTACTAGTGCTTCTTATGGAAAAGGTATTATTAAAAGGTATCATTATCAAAACTAAGTGCTTTCAGGTAAGAGATGTTGCAGAAGTGTTTATCTTTATCCTGGTACAGACAGCTAAGTATAAACTTCAGTAGATATGAAAGGCTAACCAGGAACTTTATACTTACAGCTTTAGTAACTGACAGAAACAGGGTGGATTTGATTTCAATCAAATAGATTTAATTCATGATTTAAATCACCATTTAAATCATTGGTCACGAAGCTTCAATATAAATCATTGTTTTCTACAAAAAGTGCGTTATTGTTGTTTGATATAACCTTAATACATATTATTCACAAATCAGATGTAGGTTTCATTTTTAGACAGTACACACTGTACATTATAAATCAGTTATTTTGATATTTTTTCAGATTAATTTTGAAACTACATCAAAAAACTTAATTATGATTTGGGTATTTTATTTACCATATCTAATTGAAGCAGATACTTGTGAAGTCACTAGGAGGTGAACTATCTCCAATTCACTAGACTAATCATGGATATTTGGGGGATATTTTTGCCATGCTGTATTAAAACAACAACTATCACCAAAAACAATAGACATTTAAATGGTTTTATTTAAGTAAAACAACAAGCTTATGTATTTGGGATATTTTTCTTCAACAACCATATAATTATTTTAACAAAACAAGTCTATGTATTTTTGAATTTTGAACTGTTTTAGTTATAAATGTAAAATGTATTTTTACCAAAAATTATATAGATTATTTCAGCCAGGTCAACATGGGAAATTTAAAATACTGGATTATGCAGCAAACTCAGTCTTCATTTCCCACTTCCTGTTTATTCATAGACTGGAAAAGAAATACAAACTTCCCTGCTTTTTCAGTTCCCAAGTGATTTCTCAATTTAGAATGAATTAGTCCAAAGGAAGAAAATATTCTTTCTACACCTGTAGAAGAAGCTACTGCTGTTAAAAGATGGATTATCACTTCAATAATCTCTGATGAATCCAGGTGCTTAAGTGATTTCGACCAGTACACTGGTGTGACTTCCTTTAAAACCTCATCAGGAAAAATATATTTCTTGAATGGTTCACCCTTAGCCCTGAAATTTATTGTAGTTGGTATTATGGAGGGATGGTTGCTGGATGCCCATGTCATAGCCAACTTTTCTTCAGCAGTTAAGGATTGACCCTGCTACAGAGTATTGTGAACATTGACAAGAGCCAGAGCTATGGGGGAGCTGAAAAGGTAGGTAGGGAGAGGGGAAAATGAGACTAAGGGAAAGTGTGGGTGTTAAAGAGGGGCTCTGGGTGTGGGGAGCCAAAGGATGGTTCTGGGGCAGCTAAAGGAGTTGCAGGGAGTGGCAGTAGGTGCTGGAAGCCAGAGAAAGGCTCCAGCTGCTGGAGAAAACTACAAGACAGCTAAGAGGAGCTGGGAAGCTGTGGGGGGGTGGAAAGGATTACAGAAGGTGCGGGGGAAGCCTGAAAACAGAGAGACGGATAGGAAATCACAGGAAAAGCAGCAGGTGGCAGGGCAGCAGGAAAGCAGAGAAAGGCAGCAGACAGTCATAGGGAAAAGGCAATAGGAGCAGGGGAGGCTGAGAGGTGGCAGAAAAGGGGTGATGGAATTGGGAGGAGATCGGGAAACTAGCAGAGAGGGTGGGGACTGGAGCTGAGAGAGAGAGAGAGAGAGAGAGAGAGAGAGAGAGAGAGAGAGAGAGAGAGAGAGAGAGAGAGAGAGAGAGAGAGAGAGAGAGAGAGAGAGAGAGAGAGAGAGAGAGAGAGAGAGAGAGAGAGAGAGAGAGAGAGAGAGAGAGAGAGAGAGAGAGAGAGAGAGAGAGAGAGAGAGAGAGAGAGAGAGAGAGAGAGAGAGAGAGAGAGAGAGAGAGAGAGAGAGAGAGAGAGAGAGAGAGAGAGAGAGAGAGAGAGAGAGAGAGAGAGAGAGAGAGAGAGAGAGAGAGAGAGAGAGAGAGAGAGAGAGAGAGAGAGAGAGAGAGAGAGAGAGAGAGAGAGAGAGAGAGAGAGAGAGAGAGAGAGAGAGAGAGAGAGAGAGAGAGAGATCTTGTCTCTGTTCCTGGGTGAGGTCCATGGTTCCTGGGTGAATCAATGCAAGGTGATGGCCCAGTCATTACAGGCCATTCCGTAGAGGCCTGCTACCATTGTATTTCAATCATTCCCAATCATTCTCATTTGTCCAGGAACCAATTTACATGGGAGGGATACATGACTCATACAGTTGCGACACAGGAGATGCCCAGACAGAGGACACAAGATGGAGGCTTGACATATAAAATGGAAACTTGACATGACTTTGTTTCACTTACAAACACAGGCCTAAACTATACAATATCCATATGAAACAATAAAAATCAATATGAAAATGATAATAATACAACAGTAAGAATCAATACAAACCTAATAATTATACAATATAAAACAGTGGATATCCAAAACCCAAAACTTGCTACCAAAATAAAAATGTTTAAAGCTTATCCTAAGTCTGAGCTCACTTATACTTATCTATAGGGAATAGAGAGGGAGAGAAAAAGTCAGAAATGGTTGGGGAAAGGGGAGATAATGCATTTTAAAATTTAAAAAAAAGAAAAACTGGGGGTTTTTGCTACACATTGCATATTTCTCTTTTCAAGGTCTCACTCAGTTCCTTCCAAATTTCAACAGCATCAGCAATAAAATAGCAATTTCCCTGCTTTAAATCCAGATTTTGGCTCCTAAATTGGGGTCTCTTTCTCAAAGCAGTTGAGCATATACCCAGAGGCACAGCAGCACAACTCCAAGCCTGGTGCAGCTACCTGGTACCCAGGGCAGCACTGACTCCTGCCATGCCTATTGTGGTGGTGAAGTCAATCACTGCTACAGCAGCATTGGCTGCTTTTGTGTCCCATCCTGTCCCAACCCCTCCACTCCCCCCACACACACAAAGGTGGTACCCAGGGCTGCTTCCCCCATCACCCCCTTCCCAAGTTATGCTACTGCATATACCGTTGAGATCCACTGGAACATACAAGAGTCATGTATAAATGCACTGACCTCAGGAGCAGCAGCTTCATGCTGCTCCATCAGTATCTTTTGAAAAAAATCAAACCATTTGCTTAGGAAACACATTTAAGGGTTATATTTTTTTTTTAAACCCTCAAAACTTTTAATTTATTTTAATAAGAAAGATTTTCATCCTGCTTCCTGCCCAGCAACAGTGCTTCAATGGTTGTGCAGAGCTCGCCAAGTGTTTCACCCAGTATGGCGGTTTCTTTAAAATCCATACTCTTTGGTATATTGACAACACATTTCAACATTATCTACAGAGTATGGAATGTGTGTCCAATTTGTAATAAATAATTATCCAATTGATGTTATGTGACTGCTGGAGGTGACATTTCTCTGTTCATGTTATACGTTTGGTATAAAGTATAAAGTTAAGCACAAATTAAACACTTAGGAGCCACATATACCAGTTGGAAAATTTCACATATTCCCATACTGCTCTCTGAACTTTCCTGTTAGTCACCCCTCCTGGAAGAACACTAGGATTGCACCTTCTTTGGCCAGCAACTTTGTTCCTGAACATTGAAAAGCTTTCCCTTCTCCCCAGTGGATGGAATACATATTTCTTAACAGTATTCCTAGCCCAATAGCGACATGAGCAGAAATCTGAGACCACAAAGGTAATCTAAGACATTAAAGAGAGGTCTGCAGCTGATCCCAGGAGCTGAAAATCTCTCCCAAACAGCAAACGTGCTAAGAACATAACTTTGAGGAAAATTTAAGTAATCCTTAAAATGCTGCTTTATTTTGTGCATATTTAAAACAAAATCCTGTGCTCCACGAAGAAAAGACTTGTTTCTTTTAGGTGTATTCATTACATTCAAACATAGCAGTACAATACTGTTGTTTAAAATGAATAGGTATATGTACCAATTCCATTCTATAATAGAAGTTATATGGTGCATGTCTCAGGGTCACTATACTCGTCAGGCCCAAAAGAAAAAAGTGCCTTGTTACATGGTAAGTTTAGGTGGCTTCTGGATTTCTTAGCCCCTGGATTAGCTGCATGTCAACACCTTTAAGTGATTTAAAGCACTTGTTATTCAGCCTAAAGTTACACCACTCCAGGGCAGGATTTTCTCTAATCCATCTAATTTTGCTCCTGTTCCATTAAGGTTTAGCCACTCCCTTCAATTCAGCTATTCCACTCAAGTTGAAGTACTCCAGCACCCTAGGGTGAGTGGGGATGCTGGGGTTCAGTGGAGCTGGGCACAGCGCTTCAACCCCTAGAGACAGTGAGCAGAGCAAGTGACACAGCCCACAGTAGCAAGCAGCCATGGCACCTCCTGCCACCACCTGAATCAGCTCACTGCTCCTACCAATGGTGGAAGAGGGATGGAGGAGGGGGGGGAAAAAAAAGTTCCAGGTCCCTTGGAGCTCAGGTGGTGGCATGAACATGTGCCTCCAGTGGCTGGGCAGCAGAAGCAGGGCAGCAGTAAGTGCAGAGGTCCCACAGACACCACCAGCGCTGTCAGTGGGAAGTGGAGGCAGGGGTGAGTGCCGACCAGGGGTCAGTGACCACCTGCAAGCGCTGCTGGCAGAATCAGCGGTCGCCAGCTGCTATCACTGACCGCCTGCAGATGCTGCTACTAGTGTCAACAACGGGGTGGCAAGTGGCATCCACCCACAGGTGCCGCCGACACTGTTGTAGGGTTGCACCGCCACACTCAGGGGGTGCACATGCACCTGTGTGCCCACCCACGCATCGCCCCTGGATGGCAGCCAGCATCCTGGGCAGGGGTGGCACAGGAGGGGGGTATGCTCCAGAATAACAAAAGATTTCAAGCAGGAAGCCAGTCTGATTGGCTACGTGAGGCACAATAGTTGCTGGGTGCTCCAGGGCTGTGGTACTTGCTTTGTCCAGCTGGAGTAATGAGCTGGTCCTGCCCCTAGCGTATTTATTGACATTGGCTGTTTATTACAATCAAAGTAAGAATTTAGACATGCCAATACAATCAAAGGGCCAAACCTTTATCACCCAGAGCAAACTTTTTCATTCTCTGACTACCTCAATTCTGCTTCCTCCTCTTCCACAACAGACCAAAAAAACCCACAAAAGGTGAAGACACAGTAGCTGACAGCAATGACTTGATGTGCACTAAGAAACATTTAACATAGGCTCTTGTCCCTGCTCACCAAGCCTCTAGTGGCAAGGCACAGCTGTGCAGGTGAAGGACAGTCAGATGTAGTTTTTCATGCTGTGCGACTGCTCCACTAAGCCAATTAAGATTTGTGTGGCTTACAAGGTAAGGTGTAAAGAGTCCCCAAGGCTCAGGATCATCAGCCTCAGGCCTCTGAATAGCGGATAAGGTTACACCATAATCATCCAGAAATTAACTTCTGATCTTATCATTCAATCTTAATGCTTATCTAAAAAATTACATGCCCATATAATCATCAAATCACTGAAGTAACTGTAAGTGCCTGTTCTTCGCATAGGCAGACAAGGTTTTTTATGCTCTTAAATATGCAAAGACACACAGGACTGTAATGTAGAATACTGCCTGGCTCGACTAAGTCAGTAGGTAATCTAATACAATAGATAAGGACACCTGCAACATATACAGAATGTATTCTCTTTCTGATACATTTCTAAGATCTAACAGGTTGCTAAAGTGTTTAACATTTTCCACCACATTATTTTATTTTTCCACAAACTTCCACTAGGGAGTTTCAGCACTACTTTGAGAATGCAGCTCAATTTTGTAAGATTTCCTGATTCCAAAAGTGAGAGGCATGCCCTAAAAAAATTCAAACTGTAAAAAAGTCACCAAGAACTGCATGCAGGGTTTTCAAGTCCATATTTTAAGAGGCTGTCCATGACACTTCTTCTGGCTGATCCTTTTTTACTGAGATCAGAAAAGCTAGCTTGAAAAACAGCTCTGGCTTTCATTCTATACAGAAGAATATCTTTGTTTTAAGGATTGTGCCCATCATTTTTCTCTGAAATTATTTTTCAACTTCAAATGTGCAGCAGCAGCATTTTTTTCTACGCTCCCCACGCACCTAATTGGCACCTGGGGCAGCTGCCCCAGTCACCCCACCCTAGTTATGCTACAAATTTTCCATTAAGAAATATGTCAAGAAACAATTTAAAAAAGTCATATTTCTGTCAAGAAAACTACAAAAGAATTTTTTTTGTAAAATTGCTATAATCTTTGACCATTCAAAAAACATGTAGTCAACTGACCAGCTTGCTAATCCTACTTTGAACTATTAAAAATTATTTTTCTCCTTTGAGAGGAAGGGATTTCTGTGAGTGATATCTTTTGTTGGACCAACTGCATGGTTGAGATAAACTTAAGCTATTGAATGCAATGCTTTTGACTTGCAGTTGGTTGAGTAAGATATTACCCACAAAAATCCTTGTTTCTCATACATTTCCTAGACCATCATGCCTCCCACATTCTTTTTACTCTTTGTTATTTTGAGTTTGGGACAGGATATTTTTTAATAAGGAGGTAAAACAAGTTCCATGCTCATTCTTACCTACCAAATGTACAAGACTCTTATGTACAAGACTCCTGGATTTGATGGTTCACAGACAACTCATAATGCCCAAGATCACATAAGAAATGTTGCTTGAAATTTGCCATAAGCATGGTATCACCCTCACTGTCTTCTCTCCATCATATCTATTCACAAATTTCCTCCACAAAGCCACTGCAGACAGAAAGTAGGCCTCCCCAGCACAGTTCCCTCTCCAAAAGACCTCCTGCTTTATTCTAGCCCTAGCTGAAGCCTACAGCCTATTTCTCTTTTCTTGTTTAACAAGAAACTTCCAGCCATTATTTCCCTTTTGCTAACTCTCTCTACAAACAAACCCACCTATTCTAACCACACCACTATTCTGCTGTCCCTCTTACTACTCACCCTGTTAAACATACTGGCCAGTCAGAGGGAGAGTATCACAGCTTGACTATTAGGTCCTAATGGGGCCTGCTCAACTGACCTTGCAAGGGACCCTGATTATTTTGACCAGACCTTGATCTCTAGTAGCACTGGAGGACTCCAGTGAGTTTGCTCCATTGCTCCTGCAGCCAGTAAGACTTTTGCCTTCCTGAAGAGTGAGCAATAAAACTCAAAAAGCAACTATCTTTTTCTCTCTTGGGAATTTCCTCAACTGCCCTACTTCTTGGCTAAAAGTCTCCTGCTTATTTCTCTCAACTGACAATAAAACAAACAAACAGTGGGAAGTGATAGAAGAAGGTGGCAGTAAGTACCATCCCAACCTACTGAACCAGCAATATTGGTCTGTGACTATCTGCTGGTGGTAAAACCTGGGAACTGAACTGTCTCTACCTGCCCAAAATGAAGGGAAATTCTTAATGTTTTGTCCAAATAAAAGCATTATAGTTATTATTTTTACAGCACCCAACATGCTAAACACTTAGCAGCACAAACAAAAAGACATGGGGTCCACAGAGAGACTGCGGTACCTAACTGCTACTCTACAAGTCTGTTGAGTACCATACAGCCACTAACCCAAAGTGTTCCTAGGGACATGCGTGCACAAGCTATGAATTAAAATAGGGATGGCTTTACAAGGTATCAACTGGTCTGCAATAGTTGCCTGTGTACTTGCTTTTACCCCCAGGTAAGTGAACGTTAAACCTGCTACAACTTGTCCTCAGAGGAAGTGTGATAAACTGCTGAGAGTTTGGCTTTCATTTACTGCAGGGTGAAAGCATGCACACAAGCCACTAACACAGAGCAGGTGACATGTTGGTAAAGCTCTGCCTACCTTTAGCTTATGATAATGTGCTTGTGTGCTGGTACCCTATATTTTGGCTGTTGCGTATATGCAGTTGCCCCACTCCTTACAGCACCTAACTGTGATAGGATTCACAAAATATGCATTCTCTCAATAGAACTCCAGTACCAGAAATCTGAGTCTGGGGTCAGTTTCTCTAAGTCTCTCCTTTGAATTTGTTCTTGGTACACAATGCTTAAGTATTCATGAGGGCAAGGTCTCCCAGATCGTGTATAGAGTCCTTGTCTGGCCCAGGAGAGATTAAGAAAGACTCACGCCAAAGTAGTTTAGAACCTTGTGGGTGAAGTGACCATTTGGGAGCCAAACCTGGATTCAGATTCCTTTTCCAAATCAGACAGAAGAGTGATTTGGATCTGGGAATTCCACATCCTAAGCCTGCACTCTAACCAGTAGGATACTGGATATGAGAGAGAGAGATACCTTCTCTACCTCCGTTTGGTTTTTTTTTAAAGTTTTGAACTGGCTAAAAGAGAAAGCACAGCTCTTATCTCGGAAGGAAGGAAGCTTCTTTCTTCACCTCATACTTGGATGCCTAACTCCCTGAGAGGAAGGAGCTTGAACACTAACCTTCTAGCCATTTTCTTTTGGCTAATTTAGACAGCTCCACACTTCGCTGACCTCAGTGAATTCTACCCTTAGACATTGTCCATGGAGACCAAGTGCTTGACTGGGGATTGTGGATTCCACTAGCTATGGACTAAAACATGCCTTCCATTCTCAATGTGAAGGCCTCAGAGGGAGATTAGCCCTTTAGTGCCCTGTACCTGCACCACAGAAAAGTCATTTTACACCCCAATCAAGTCACTCATTCATCTTTTTGATAAACTAAACATGTTGAGCTCTTTACATTTTCAAAAGCATTGCTTACCAACATTTGTTTGCCGCAATACCAAAGCAAAAGTATTTCTTTGTGCAGGGAAGTATCTTTTTTCAATTTAAAAAAACATCTTGAAATGAATCAGAGCTAATCTTTGTGAAAAAACGATAAATGTGTCAATTAAAGAAGACAGCTGGTTATAGTACACGCTTATGTTTTATTCTCTGCCATGCTTTAGATCAGTGGTTTCCAACCATTTTGGACCAGAAGACTACTGTCAACTCTTAAAATTAGGTATAGTTCACTGTGCATTCTCATCTTCAAATTTTAATTGAAAAGGGAAAGTCTGGAGTAATCTGCACACCACTTAGCAGGACCTTATGGTCCACCAGTCTGGTGGTCCACTTTAAATATGTCCAGCAACTCTTAGTAAATATCTATATAATACTGGATACGTACAAGGCTTCATATCATAATGCTCTTAATAGGGATATCCCAATGGACAATCAACATCCATTACTAAATGGAAACTCTAAATTGACAGCAGCGGCAGCAGCGGCAGCAGCAATCCTTTGATTCAAGAATGACAGCCTGCTCAATGGCTTTCAAGGCCTCTTGATAGCCTGGTGAATCTGCAAGGTTGTCCTTAATTGGGTGCAGTGGAATGGCTTTGGTGGTCTTATCTTTGACATTAGAAGATCAGTTCAGAACCTCTTGAACATGTTCTTTCCACTATGTAAAGAGAGCTCCACCATCCATGCACAGTGTTGTTCCATCCTTAGAACTCACAGGAAAGTCCCTTTGTGTGCCTGGCCCATAGGTAGCTTTGGTTGCACTGAAGAAACTACACATATTGTGGCTGTCAGCAAACTTTTGTATCTCTTTTGCTTTGTCCTCCCACCACTTGTTCATTTGCTCTCAGATTTTACTCTGGGTATCAGCTTTAATGTGGCAGTGTCTTGCTTCTGTTTGGAGTTGATGTCATTCTGCCAAACTTTGAAAATGGAAAGCAGAAAAAGGAGACTTTTTCTGTTAACGAGAGCTTAAATGTCCTTATTACTCTCATCAAACCAGTCCTGAGGTTTCTTTGTGGAGATGCCTAGAAGCTCGAAGAGCCTTTTAAAAATATTATGTAAATAATGTTATAATAATACAACTAATGGCATAACATTAAAAAACAAATAAAAATGGACAAAATAACATGGAAATACACTATTCCACATCTGTCTGATGTTTGCTTCTTGCTTTCATACTGATTTACCAACCTCTATTTGATTGCCAGTATAAAAGGAAGAACCTACATTGAATTCAAAGGAGTTATGTCTGATCACTGATACATTTATTACCAGATTTTTGAAATTCATAACTGAAACCACAAACATTTTGGAAATTCAATCAGTCTGAGGAATTTATGATCATTCTGACCTACTACAAATACAAGTAATTTTCATTGTGTAGGAAGTACATTGTAATTGGTGTCCTGAAAATCACTGAACTCGTGGCAAATTCACACATTTATTGTATTAACTAATGCCCTCAATAAAAATATGTATCTACAGTATTACCGGAGATAGTACAAGTTTAACTAAAAAACAGGGGACCTTCTACGAATCTCTTAGTTTTGCTTCTTAAAAAGAAACTGATGGCCGTGGCGACGATTCTGCACGCTTGTAGGGGCACAATATTTTTCTGAAAGCATTCCGAAACTTAACATGACAGAGAGGATAGAGAAAAGGATTCACAGAAGAATTGAGCCACAAAAGCCAAAATGAAATTTCATACAAGTATGGTTTGATGCAATTTCCATCGCAGGCTGCAAAAATAATAATGAGCAATGAATATGGTGCCCAGCAAATGACAAAGATGCAAACAATTATGGCAAGTGACTTTGCAATTTTTTTGTCTCTTTGCAGTTTGCGGCTAGTCTTCACTTTGAAAGATCCCATAGGATCAGTTTCAGAAGTATGGGAATATAAGTGTGATGGTCTTGGTCTGTCAGATGTTGACAAGTGCCTCTGTGACCCTGAAGTAGAACAACTCTTCTCTGTTTCAGAATCAGAAAAAGATGCGTCTTCCTTCAACAAGCACCAAAGCCTCCGTACTTGGCTCTTGCTCTTTGGAGACTCAGAAAGCTCTTGAGGAATTGTTGTCAGGCGATTTTGGATGCTGCGGAAGATTTGTATATTGAAATAGGCCACTAAGATTAAAGGTGTGAAGAACTCAAAGATTGAAGAGCCCAAAAGAAGATGCCAGTTGTAGATGAATTCAGCATAACATTTCTTATCAGGTACAATGCTACAGCCAACCACATATTCCCAAATGATAATTGCTGGGCCATAGAGTAAGAATGCAAACACCCATATTGCCACCATCATTGCAATAGCCTTTGATGTCATTCCTGGGTTAATTCTGTAAGACACCTAAAAGCAGAATGAAAAGTCCACTTTGAGAGATCTTTTAGAAACCTGTGTTTTTGTAAAGCAACTTCTGAAACCCTAAGAAAAAATGTGTACTTTAAGTCTCTAGATGTCCAGAACACTCATGCTTCTATAAAGCCAGGGAAATTTTTATTAATGTATTTACTCAAATATGAGATGAGGGTTTTCCCCCCAGTCAGCCTGGAGGAAAAAGCCTTTCATTTTACATTCATATGCAAGGAAACCTCACATTTTTACTTCATCTTCACTCCCATAGCTGAGCTGCGGCTTTCTATTCAAATTTCAAGAATTCCCCTGCCTTAGTATATACTCTTCAAACCTCCTTGCCTTTTCTACACAGGTATGGGTTCTAGCCATGTTGGTCTAAGGACATAGGCAGACAAGGTTCTTTGGGTAAATCTGATACATTTTATTAGACCAACATAATAGTTGGACATTTTTTTCTTAGCAAGCTTTTGGGTTTAAAAGACCTATGTCAGGCTGAAGAAGCATCCAGGAAGAGCACACAATTGCAGATGATTCCTCAGCCTGACATAGGGTTTTTAAACCCGAAAGCTTACTAAGAAAAATGTTTCCAACTATTTAGTCGGTCTAATAAAAGATATCAGATTTACTCAAAGAACCTTGTTTGCCTTTTCTATAGCATTCAGCACTGTGACATGCAAGTACTTCACAAGCAGTAATAAATTCATCTCCACAGCACCCAATGAAGTGAAGAAGTTTTATCATTCCCATTTTACAGATGGAGAACTGAGACACAGAAGCAATGTCAGAGGTGTACAAGAATTTTGGGTCCCCAATTTGTGATATATGTCCTGATTTTTCCATGTATTTAGCATGTTATAAAACTGCATGTGTTCGGAACAGAACTCATGGCCTTAGCTGCAATTAGGATCATTCAGAACATTATTTGAAACCTTAGCTGTCACAATCTGGACACATACAATGAGAAAAACATTTAGGGTCACCTGTGAAAAGTTTCATACAAAGTGACTTGCCCAGAAACACATAAGAGTTATCTAGCAGATGTAGGTGTACAACCCAATTGTACAGGGCACTTCAACTGACTTAATCATGAGATCAGACCTCCTCTTCCTACAGCTCCCACCTCACCACCTATGTTCTTTCCAACTTCTGACTTAAAGGCAGGCATTCTAAAGATAACAAATCACCTTTGCCGTAATACCCTAAATACCATCCAAGGCAGAGGCCCTGTGGAAAAATAGCATGTGATTATGTAATTACAGACTCTATCATTATGCTTATTTCCAAGGTGCTTAAATGAAGTTACATAGGCAGTCTTTAATTTGGCTTTTCCTAAATTTGGAGAGTTTGCGATCTTGTTTCTTATATGTAGCAATTTTGTATTCAATTCCCTAGGTCTTTTGAAAAAGCAAGCTTATAAAACCCCAGAAACTCATCACAATATCATATTGACAGCTATATGGATCTTCAACAGGGTCAGCCCTACTAAAGTCTACCACACAGACATATGGGGTAGGAGCTAAGAGATAAACTGGGCATTTTAGTGGGTTGCCTCTAATCCAGTAGGCCAACCACTAACAGAATATGAACATATTTTGCCACTAGTCTTCACAAATATAAATAGGGATCTACCCTATTTGTGATTTTGTGCTTTTCACAAAAACCATGAAAAGAGTTTCCCCTGCAAAAATGGCAATCCCTACAATTTTGGAAAGGAATCTCCGGGGGGAAAAAAAACTTATTAAAAATAAAATGCTGGCTCTCCAGTGGTCCTCAGGGCTGCTGCGGCCCAGCCCCACAGTCAGCCTGGGGGAGAGAGGAAGGGGGGGGGAGGGGGAGGAACTGCCAGCAAAGATGCAGGCTACCCCCCACTTGAAAGCAAGCAGCAAAGATGCAGGCTACCCCCCACTACTGATTGGCCAAGTCTTGGCCAATCAGTGGTGAGGGGCAGGGCCACCGGGCCCTGCTAGCTAATGAGTGGCAAGGGAGGCCACCATGAAAAACCCATGAAAAATGGTGCCATGGGCTGTTTGTGGCCCATGATTTTGCTTTCACTTCAGAACTATTTAGGTAGATCCCTAGATATATACTAACAACAAAAGAACAGTGAGATTCTGGGATCTCAGATTCTCTTCCAGGTTCAGAGAAAAGTAAATGCTGCTGGTTATAGACTCTCATATCCATTGTCCACCAGTCTGTTTTTTATAGAGTGAATCATAGAAAATGAGGGTTGGAAGGGACCTCAGGAGGTCATCTAGTCCAACCTCCTGCTCAAAGCAGGATCATCCCAGCATGCTACCTGCTCTCCTTCAGTTCCCTGTCCCAAACTCAGTTGCCCCTTGCAACCCCACCTTGTATTCATCTCTGAGTCCCAATTTCCTCCCCTCTCTCCATTCAGCTCCTTGTCTTGGTCTCCTCTACCACACCTCAGCAACTCTTCACAGGCCCAGTATCCACCCCACAGCCTCCTTTTAGCATCACATCCCACTTCCAATTCCTCCTATTCAACTCTACCACATTATCCCTGTGCTTCCTCAGCCCTTCATCCCAATACCACTCTGCACTCCTTTTCACTACTTGGGAACTTCAGAAAAATATTCTCCCTGCTCCTCAGTCCTGTGCCACAGCAGCCAGGAAACTGCCAAAAAAGCCCTGTTCCAAGCACAGTCCAACTGGCCCTGCACTACTTACCCAGCCTGCAGGACTGGAAGGTTAAGTTTCACCAACCTAAAGCAAATCTTTTATATTTTCTTATCCTTCTTAGTAAAGTACTTTCAAATCTATGGATGAAATGGTTAATACTTAACTGTTGACCATTATTGTTACACAAAGCTATATATAAACCCCAGTAGGCATGCAAGGCTAACTAGGAATCTTATACTTACAGCTTTAGTAACTGACAGAAACCGATCATAGCTGATCAGGACAATGTTAAATACCGAAGCTGTGCACATTAGATAATCAACAACAAGCCAGAGTTTGCAGAGGCCTCTTCCAAATGGCCATTTGCCTGTCAGGATATACGGGATATATAGAGGGATGCAGAATGCACCTGTGGGAGGAAATAACAAGAACATAATCCAGAGATTATCATCAGGATTGTAGCTGGTGTAAATGTGAGCACAAGATAACAAGGTAAGAAATTAAAACATTAATAGAAACCAATAGAATTGTAGAGGCTGAAGTTCTTGTATTCTCATGAAATCCAAAGGGATTCCTGTGCACTAGGTTTTAGCATGGGTTTTTATGCACAGTCATTCTCTTGCCAACACATTATAGTGCTGACTTTTAGTACAATAGTCCAGACTTCTATCACAATTTAAAGGAGGAGTAGCTGAGATGCCTTTAGCCACATTTTTTAAATCTTCAATCTGTGCTAAATGACTAGAGTCATCACCCTTTAAATGCGTGTGATAACAGCATTTACTACGACTCCAGAAGTACTAATTGTAGAAGCATACTGCAACTTCAATATCCATGTAAACATTTCCAACAATTTTCTTAACCATACTAGTAAAAGATTAAGAGATCATATAGTGTATTAAGCATATTCAGGTCATTTTTCCCACTGATCTTAATCCTCTTTAACTTGGTAAAAAGATAGAATACATCGGTTGAATGCACTGAAGCACCCTCGTGCCCCAGCCAGCTATGGCAGCGTCTAAACATGTGCTGCTTCACATGAAAAAAACTCCACACAGGGTAGCATTTGTATTTACAAGTACTTCCCTACTATGGAGTTTATTAGCTTTGTGTGCCCTAACAGGGACGCACATATAGATGCCAAGATGTTTACTGCGCAGTTAATTAGCCAACTGTGCAGTAAACGTCTATGTAGATATACCCACTGTGAAATATTTAGGAGCAACATACTGCTGTTGAAATGCTTAGTATGCTCTTTTCCTTATCTTTGAAATCCCTTACACTTGCTATCATTCCCTGGACTCCATCGGGAATAAAGCATCTGTGGCCAGAAGGTTGCCCATGACCATTGTGAATCCTTAAAAAAATCCTTTGCTTAGAGAAGGAAAGACTAGTTCACTTGATTACTACTACTAGCTCATTACTGCCCTTGTATCAGTCCCATTCTATGATAACCACATCATACCATGCAGTCTTAAGGGTTGTTATACTTAGACTCAAGATCATCAGCCATAAATGCCTCAGAATAGTAGCTGAGGTTATGCTTTAATCATTCAGAAATTCACTGCTGATCTTATGTTAATGCTTATTTAAAAGCATCACACACACACCAAATGATCAAACCACACAAGTAATTAATTGTCTGTTCTTCACAGAAGTCCATATGGGAAGACACATTGGCACACAGAATGCTTAAAAACACTGAGTGGATACAGTTAGTTGGCTTACTAGTTTAACTGTCAGCCTGTAGTTCAATAAATAGATAAAAGACATTTGCAACATATACATGATCTACTAGCAAATGCATACTCTGTTCAGTCTGACAATATAAGGGGAAGAATTTTAAAGGTAAATAAAACTCAATCACAACATGTAACAAGCCAGATCTTCAATATTCATGTAAAAAGCAATATAAATCTTACCTTGTCTTAAAAATACTGGTAAAAGAAAGATTACATTCCTTCATGATAACAACTTACCTACTATAAAATCAGAAATTGCAAGATTAAGAAAGAAATAATTACTCCGATGTCTCAGATTTTTGTCCACAACAAAAGCCAGGATGACCAAGGCATTTCCAAGGACTGTAATAAGGATTACTATTGCCATAAGAATACCTAGTAATGCCGAAGTCCCCACTGAAAAAGTTGGTTCTGAATCTGTGGCTGAAGACAGGCTTTTGTTACATATTGCAGACATATCTACAGCTTTAGCACTGTTATATTCTGGATCCTGTTCAGTTCACTTCATTAAGAAAATCAAATCCAGTGAATGTATTCAGTTAAACTGATGTAAATAAATAAAGTTAGTAAGATAGGTTGGCAAGAAGATATTGAAATATACAAAAATAATTTTACAACATTAAAAAAAAAAAAAAAAAAAAAATCAACTGTGAGATTCTGTTTCTTACTAAGCCTGAATTTTGTAGGACTTCCTGGTTATAAAAACCAAGAGTTATGTAGCTGAAATGTTCCAAAAACTGAAACTAAAGGAAAGCCAGTCTTTACAGTACAAGCAGGTTTCAAGTGCAAAATCTTAAATGCAAGTACTGTGTTTCTCCTACAGGCTACTCCTTATCAATTGAGATCAGGAAGTCAAGCTAAAAAAAAATGTCCTGCTTTCTCTTTCAAACCACTGTACATGTTCACATTAGGTGCGTGTCATATTTTCTTTAGAATTTGTTTCTTACTTTCATGTTTTGTACAGATAATTCTGCTGAAGAAACAGAAATAGGTTTTATTTCTAATATTCTCAATATTCATCTGACTGCAATTAATAATGTTTTTTTCTATTACAGTTGGGTTGAAGTCCACTGTGCTTGGTTCTGTAAAATAATATAATACAACATAATCCATAACTCCAAGATCAATATTTTTAGATGCTCCTGTTTACACAGTATCTGGAATTCAAAGCTCATAGGCTACAATGATACCAAGACTGATATTAATCAATAAAATCCAATTAAATAGTTGCAAACCTCTCACTGACCTCAATCTTTCAATAAATGAGAAGATAATTTCCTAGAAAGGGGCCATATCTTGCCCCATTAAAATAAGTGGATGTTGACTATTGACTTCTGTGGGATTAGGATCTCCTCTCAGCATTGGTGACAGAAAGAGAACGACATTTGCATGGATATGTTAGATTTGTACTTGTAATTTATCCATTTATTAGAGACAGAAGACATTAACACCTCTGACAATCCAGTCACCTTTATCCCAGGACCTAAATGGATTTGGGTGTCCAATTTTAAGCATGTTTGTAAACTGTTGGCCTCAATTTCTGTACTCTGTTGTGAGGAATAATTCCTTAATGTTTGCAAAATAGTTTGAGAGTCCTTTGATTTAGGGCACTGTAAAAATGCAATGGCACAATTTTTCCAAATATCTTCATACTATAAGCTACATCAAATTTTAAAATATATTTTTAAAAATTCACTTCTGCCTTAAATTTTGTTATCTACTTACAGATATTTACAAGTCTCGTAGTAACCACAGTTGTAGGCAACAGCTACCAAGCAATTCTGCAAACTGCTTTCTCCCTTCTGCCATCAATACTGAAACTAATCTAAACAAAATTAGCACCTACTTTAATGAAGGATTTTCCACTCAAGGCATACTTTTCCACCTGCAGTAAGAGAAATGAGAAGTCACAGAGTGGTTTCTTTCCCTTCTTTTTAAAAACTATCTTTGGACTACCCAATGATTTTTCCAGTTGGTAAAACTCAAAAACAACTTGAGAGCTAACTGCTTTATCACCAAGACACACACACCTGTAAGAAGCTGAAAGGGAATTATTTAGGCAAAGTTTTTTGTCAGAGGTTCAAGTCTTGCAATGGGATCATCAATGGAATTCCATGTTATTCAGTTTCACCAGAGGGGAATATGGAATTTGAGTAACTCCAGTATTGCTAGAGAAGAAACTGGGGCTGGGCATAACTATCAGAGATGTGATTCAAACCCATTATCAATCTAAAAAGCTTTTCTCCCTCCCCAATATACATCCGACAAATGCGTGTAAAGGATAATCATATCCCTTACCAAACTTTTTTGTTAAGCTATATAGACCTACACCTTCCTTTCCTAGGTAAGTTTCCATTCCTTTAAAAATCCTAAAGGTCCTTCTTTGAAACTATTCCAATTTATTTTTTAAGCTTAGTGACCAGAACTACACACAATATTTTAAATGGGTTCTTACCAATTTCTCACTAACAATGCTTACTGAGTACAAGAGCACTCTGCACAAAGCTTTTTTGCATCTCAGTAGAGTTCCTTAATCTGCTTCTCAGAACAGATACACCTCTAATAGTTGCCTTGAAATTGACAGTACAAAGCTGTTTTCTAAAGCCTTGAAATTGATAGCTCCTACTCAGTGTCACCAATTATGTACAAGTAGGCATAACCAATTACATACAATTACACTGCAAAGTAGACAGAAAGGCTGAAGAGTTCCTATGTACTTAAGCAGTTCATGCATTTAAGCAATGTTTGTTACAGCGGAAGCAATAGGCAAAAAGTCGGAATTGGTATCATATTGTATAATTAAGTGAATTATGCACTTATCCTATGCACATACAAGTAAAGTCCAGCGTACTCCAACGTTTTTCAGGAAGCCCATAAAGCACTTCAAGTTACAACAACAGTACCCTGTTTTCTTGCATACCATATAAGCTCCCAAATAAGGCATGCACCTTGTTTTTGGGAAGGCAGAGTGAAGCAAAAGAGACTTTTCCATTTATGGCTGGAATAAGAATAAGGCTAGAGCCTAGTCTTCAGCTCATGCACCTGCCCTTTCCTGCTTAACCAAAAAGCTGAAACCCTAGCTACTGCTGAAAACTGGTCTCTGAGCAGATCCTGTGACCACATGCAGCCTCTGAGCCTGGAGGTTTTTCTGATCAGTATTGATTTGAAATAGGTTGGCTTCCTGAAGGTAACCATCTTTTAACAGTGATTCTCATCAGCTACTGAGACATCTCTGTGCTCTAGAGAAGTTAGAGCATAAAACCATTTTTGTAGTCCAGTTTATGAGGAAGACAGTTCCAAAGCTTCTTGATGATTCTTTGGTTTGATGAAAAGCTAAGGGAAGCCATCAAGGAACTATCAATCTGGTGTTAGGTTCTAATAGAAAACTGCACTTCCCTTGGCATCTAGCATAACAGTGAAAAAAAAAAACTTCCCTGGTATATATCTTCCACTTGTCACACAACATTTCTGATGCATCTTAGCGGTCTTCACACTTACAAACCAATACTAAAAACTTGATGTCTCACATCTGGTGACCTATGCTGGCCCATACACCAATACTCAAAATCAGGGGAGCTCAACCTCTGGTCCACAGGCCCCACACAGCTCCTTCCCCCGCTACATGGCTGGATCAGATCTGGGCCATGCCCCTTCCCCACACAGTTGGATCAAGGCTGCTTCCCCTCCCCCCACACAAGGTCAGATGGGGACTCATTACACCTGCTCTGGGCACCGGATAGGGACCACCAGGTGGATCTGGCCTGGGGATGGACTGGGCAGCACTCATCTGGCTCACAAGGCAAAAAAGGTTGAGCACTACTGCTCTAAATTATAATTCAGAAACAGTTGTTTGCAACCAAATGTTAAGAGCGCAGCCCCCTTGAACTCAGACAGTAGTCCTAAGTACAGCAGGGAACAGGGAGCGAATGAAAGACAGCGTTGCACAACTCATAATGCTGAAGAGAAAAACACTCTCTCAAAAAGCTAATTTCCAAGAACATTTTTTGAGAGTTTCCACAGAATACAGGAAGTTTTAACTTAGATAACTTCTTATGAACAGAAAAGCAGAAGATGCAAATATCTTCACTGGCCCTCTCCAGACAAAGACAGGTTAGCAAACACCCCACATCTTTGTGCAAAAAACAAATGCATACACATTTTGTTCACTTTGATGGTTTGCTATCAGGAGTGGCATTCTGTCCAACCAACTATCATCACTTGGATAACAAACGTTTTAGGCAAGAAATAAATAGCCTGCACTAATTTCTTTAGATTTTCTACTGAGCAACTATTTAACCTCTTGGAGCTCTCTAACATTCTTATAAAAAACAGTACTTTTAATGTATTCAAGCAATTTCATGACACTGTGAATAGCTGCTCAGCAATGTTAATCATTTACATACTAAAATATATTAACATTTTTTAGTATTATTCAATCAGCTTCAACTAGAGTCTTCCATGTGCATTTTTTCACGAATTCTCACTTCATTTAGCTTTGCAAATCACTTACTAGTCCCCAGAATGAAAATTTGGTCTACTGTATTTTTGGAAAAATATATAGGTTTAAAAAATGACTAGTGGGAATATTTACCAGTAGCATGCCGAAAACAGATAGCAGCATTTCAGCTTCAAAAGACTCCATCGGTAAAATAATTAAACAGAAGAAGGGACAGTGCAGTCAGAGAAGGTTCACAACTGCTTTAAATTAGTTCCCCTACAGATTTCCCTTTACTAATTACAAAAGCAGGTGTCAGATAAAACACAAATAAGTGATATTACAAAATTAGGTGCTGTAGCTGAATAAAGTTAAAAGTCAAGAAATCAATGCAAAAAATTGATTTCCAAAGGTGCTGATAACCTGCAACTCCCTTTTTTGTAGTAGAATCTGTGGTTATTCTGTACTTTTGAAAACAGTCAGTCCATTAGGCTCCTTTGCTACAACTTCATCCTGACTAAATGCTAAAACATTCTCTATTTCTGCAAGGCATTTTTGAGTAACTAGTTTAATTAGGCCAACTTTACACTAGGACAGGTTGGTGGCATAAGCTACACTGGTGAACTCTAGGCATAGATAGAACTCAGGCTGGCAAAACATGGATTTGCTGCATAGTTTATATCACTTTTAGAAGCCAACAATATCACAAAAATATTTTATGCCACTACCATTTTATCTGCACTATGATTTTTGCTGGTATAGAAATGTCAGTACTAAAATCATGCCATTAACTGATATCATTATCCAGCAAAAGTTTCAACTACAGACCAGGCTAAGAAAGTAGCTTTACTGTTAAAACTTAACAGAATTATAGCAATTAAAAGATAAAAACAGTAGAAAAGAAAGATATCCATCAGATTATTCACTACATCCTCTGCAAGTAAGGGATAAAGTATAAATCAGTGGCTCCCAACCTTTTTTGCTGCAACCCTAAATCCAAGTTGCAACCCCAGCCTCCTCCTCACTCATGCCTGGCAGTGCCAGCAGAGCCTAGGCTGCACCAAGATTGTGGGGAGCAGCGGCAGCAAGACCCGCGCAGACCATGCGCTGGGAGAACCCTGCAGGCGGGAGGGGCTGAGCAAGGAGCAGACCTCCCACAACCCTGATCTGGGTCATGCCCTGAGGTTGCGAGCCACTGGTGTAAATATAAAAAACTAGATTCTGCTTCTACCAAAGTCTCCACACAGCAAGTCCTTAATACCAAATGACTGACTCCCTTTTACAGTACCAAGGCTTAAATTGTTAGTGCATTACAGAAAAATCCAGCAGAAGAAAAAAAAGATAACTGAAAACATCTATGAAAGGCAATCACTAAGAGTGATATTTCATATATTTAATATGTTCATAATTAAATTCAAAATATGTTTTAAAATTTGTTTCCTGACCTAAAATCATTGGCTCTTTCAGTTTCAGAGCTCACCACTGATAAATTCAGCCAGTTTCCACAATCTGACACTTTCAGCAAATCCTCAATAAATTAATAAAGCGATTCCTTTACATTCATGTAGATTGACACTTCTTCCGATGGTTCTTTTGTGTCATCAAGCAAACTCCAATGCTATGCTCAAGGACGAAGTAGACGCAAGAAAGTCCATGTAGCAGTATGCTACTTGCTTTCTTCTCAAACATAGAAAGTTTTAATAGACAATACCCTAAAACATAATATCCTTTACAAAAGTTACAGTACCATCATTCCAATGAAGAACTCAACTGAGGAAAATTAGGGCAATTAAGTGCACCTATACACATGCCCAAGGTGGGGGTGGTGTTTTAATTAGAGCAGAGTGGCTCTTGGGAGCTGTTCTAATTACAGCTGTTCTAATTACACCATTCAACCAGCTTTAGTTAAAGCGCCCCCACTGCCATTCTGAAACCCAGGGGTGCTGAATACAAGAGATGCTACAGCATGCTGGAGTATTTTGATCAGAACGCTCCAGCACAATCAATTAATCGACTGTGCTCTGACGCATTCTAACTGAAACATGTCGGAACACGTGTAAAAGTGCCCTAAGATTCCAGTACAAAAGAGGTATTTGATTAGTGATGGTACAGAGGACAGTTAATCCATATTCTGAGTCACTTAAAAGGTGAAAGCTAAAATACTGGTTTTGTTAAGCTCTGGAATTCATTGTAATGTATGAATGTATGGCAAAATCATTTGTTCACATTCCCCACTCCAAAACAACTGACGTAACCACTGAAGAAAGTGAAAATGCTGCTAAGGCCATTCTAAATTTTCGGCTGAATCTGAAATGTCTGTTTTTCTTAGATAAGGCATATATTTGTGTCTGAAGATATTTTTCTGCAATAGTGTTTTTAATGTAGGACTTTATAAAATATGTGCAAACTGAATGCTGTCAACAGGTTCTTTTAAAATGTATTAACGTTCAGATTTCTTCTTGTTGTCCTTCCTTATTCTTCTGTTCTTACCCAATTGTTTAGATGATTCTTCCTGAAAGAAAATCAAAAGAAATATGACTATAGTCTATAAAGACAGCTGTGCTCTTCTCTACACTGCTAAGATCTTTCAGTCATACACTAGGCACCAGTTATGTTGTAATGAATTTTGAATATTGTTCATTGAGATTTGTGACAATTCTGACTTCTGACTCTGACCTAAGTTTTAGATACAGTAGAGGTTCATTTAGAAATATTCTAATCTCATAGGAGTTAAGTTCTTCACAGCTTTGTCGTTCTCCTGGTTGTATAAAAACTAGCATCTTGAATTTGGATTCTGCTCAGGACATCTTACCACTGCCCCACCAGGCAATATGAGTAGACAAGGGATACTCTAAATAGCTACTTCTTACTACTGTGATCTCACTGAAGCATCTACTGATTTAACTCTAACAAAACAGTTACAGCACTAACACGTGTGCCTTATATCAGAGTGAACACCAAAAATATTTGTTAGCGAAGCAAAATATTCATTTTGAGAGTTTGCATGGGACTTTGGTGGGGAGCAGTGGAAATCCCTTCAGTGTATGGAGGGAAGGACATCTTGACAGAAAGTAGGTAAATCAATTTTCCATACGACCCTTCATTTCCCCTACTTCACCTCTGGTGGGTGGAAGCTGGGACTCACACCTCTCACCTTCCTCTTCCTTCTCCCCCTTCCTCCTGCTGCGTGGATGGGCTCTAGAGGAAGGGCAGTGACATGTTTCATCTGCACCAAGCTCTAGGATTTGACCCACTTACTCTGGCTACCATGAGGTGGTGCATGGCTAAGTATCTGACTCCTATCTGGCACTGGGGGAGAAAGGAATGAAAAAGGTTCCTTTCAGATGAGGAAGCTATTTCAGGCTTGTTGTTCCTGTCCTAGCCTGGGGTTACAATGCTGGATTTCCTATGATGCAGAGGGCTAATGCCATGTTTACATTATAAATTTGTTACTGATACTACACTTGATCTGAGCCTTCAAGAGACCGAGAAGTACACCAGTAAAGTGTTCCAAGACTGGTCACAGCAATACCAGCAAAGCTCTGCTTTGTCCCAGGACTACAACTTTACCCACCTCAAGCCAAAAAACTATACAGTAAAAGCAGTTTTACAGTGTAACTATGTCCACACCAAGGCTTTGTGATGGCACAAGTACATTAGTTAGGGACCTCACCTCTTCAAATCCTAAATGGACATGGCTATGTCAGAAGTCTTCAGTATAGATATAGCTAAGCCTTTTCTACAACAGGAGTCCATTACCAGGAGAGTAATACTGGTATATTACACTGGCAAACTGTTCCTAGTGGGACTGCAGCTACATCGACAATAAGGCATATTAAAGTGGCAGAGTAAAACCCTTTCCCTCTGAAAACAAGGCTAGAGTAGTAAAAGCACAATTTTAACATGCCAAAGGATTTTGCCTGCACATCTGTGTTGGCAAGGATCACATCTGATCACACCCATGACCAACGCAGTGTTGGCAGAAGTCAGAAGGGTGAATGTAGCTAATGCGGATTATTGAGTCTGAAAGCAATAGTTTTCCTCACAAGGAGAAAATAGCAAGCTGATGTGAGGATTTCTTCACCTTCCACCTGACAACACTGAGACTGGTGTTTGGGGGATTTCAATTACAACTGCTCCAACTTTTGTGGGTTCTAGTGTGTTAATATGTTACAAAAGGTCCAGCTGAGGGCTATAAATTTAGCTGGCTGCCTAAGCAGTGGTCCCAGGCACTCCCATGAAGGGATCTTCTACTGCAAGCAATAATACAGATGCAATGAAGGGATCTGCCTCTATAGCCCCAACAGACTTTACATGCATCACACAATTTGAGCCACATATGCAAACAATTTAATCATGCAATAAAATGACAAACGAGCCACAACCATGTTCCACATTAAATGTGGATGTGGAACATTTAATGTGGAACATCGTTGCGGCTGGTTTGTATTGAGCTTTAATTTGAATGTATGGCATGGATGTTATTAATTTAAAGGGCATACAAGGAGTCTAAACTAGAGAGCCGCTCCCTGTTCCTGGGCTGCCCACCTACCCTTTAAACCTGCCACTTTGGAAAGTAGCTCCCCTATGCTGGGCTGACTAGGCACCCCCCTTTAAGTTATTTCTGAATGTGCCAGCATGTGGGGAATGGCTGCCTAATCTTAGGCTCCCCACCCACAGACTTTTAAAAGGTGCATGTGCAGCTGGGAGTTGCTGCCTGGTACTGGGTTTCCAAAGTACCAGCAGACATGAAGTGGGATTTATCCCACATCCTGAACACCTGGCATGACAAGATGTACAATTTTGGAGATCCAGAATAAAATCCCAACAAATTTAAAATAACATCTCCCGGGGACCTATGTCTCATATAACTCGAGTCTTGCCTTACCTCATCTCTCACAACTAGTGTGGATGAGGGGAGGGGGTTAGAGCTCTGGCTTCCAGCAGGCCTCTTAGCACATATAAAGTTTGCAAGGGGCTATATCTCATACACTCACCCACAGATTTATATTTCATTGGAGATACTGATGAGTAGTTTGCAGTGGCCCACCCCAGTTTAACATTAGTCATTAAAAAGATGCCACCTCCTCCATCAATTACTGTATTTTCTAAAAACCAAAATAAGATTTCCCCCTCCCCCCCGGTCCATTTAGCATGGAGGAAAATGCCCCTTCTCTTGAATTTGAGTACAGGGCAGAGGTGGGAGGGGAAGGCAGCTGCTGCAGCTCTGACTTCAACTCCAAACCTGACTCATAGATAGCTAGAGCCACAGCAGCCATCTTCCCCCAGCTCTGCCTGCCCCTCTGCCCCGCCCCCTGCATCATCTGCCCCTGCAGCCTCTGCACCCTTCCCCGACTTACTCTCAGGCATGGCTCCAGCTCCATTCATTCCCAAGGCATGGAGCACATGGAAAACCCTGCCCAGTCAATCACCACCAGCACAGCTCCAGCCCCAGAACACAGCTGTATGGCCGGGCAGGGGCCGCACTCACATGTGCGCTGTGCCCTGGGAAGGAATGGAGCTGTGTCTGTCAGTAAGAGAGGGGAGAAGTGGGCAGAGGCTCCACAAAGCAGGGAAACAAAAGCTGTGGGAGGGTGGAGGACAAAGACCACAGGAGACAGGAACCAGGGCAGAGGCTGCAGGGGCAGACACAAGGTAGACAGGCAGCAGGGAGTCCAGTTACCACAGGTGCCAGGTGCAGCCTGCATGCGGAAGAAGAAGAGTTGGGAGGTGGGTTAAGTCAGAGGGCAAGGAGACCACCTGGTCCCTCAGCCACCAGACCCTCCCAGCTGCCTGCCCCCTGCCACTGCTTTTTCACTGTAGCAGCAGCGGCAGATACATTTAAGATGACCCTCCTATAATAAAATTCTATACCTGAAAAATCATAACATTTTCATAAATTTTACCTTAAAGTCAGGTAAATACAGTATTCATATGTAAGCTTCTTATGGCTCTCTATTCAAATCAACATAGTGTTCAGGTGCCAGCCACAATGCAGGGCCATCCATTTTTAGGTATGCCATAAATACTAAACACATTTACATATGGTACAATAACCTGTTGTCTTCTTACTGTCATGAAATTCTGATGATTTATGAATGATTTACAAATATCTGACTTCTGACTGGAAACAAGCTTGAAAAATCAGAAAGATCAACTCTTGGACTACACTGAAATGTATGGTTGCATTCTCACTACAATTAAGAAAGTTAGCAAAAAGGGAAAACTTTTCCAAGAGTCAAAGAGAATTATAAAATAGCCTATTAATAGTTTTAGTGCTTATTTGAAAAACAAGAACCCTCCCCTCAAACAAAAGAGGAAGCTAATCAACTGACAAGAAAAAGAAAGTGAATGGGTACAAAATGCTGTCAAATGCACAAAGTAAACAAATGAAGAAAAGGGGGATTCATCCTTTTCCAATCTTAGATATTTTTGCATTAAAATCAAAAATATTTTCAGACAGGAGTATATTTTTGAAGTATTTCTTCACATAATTAGCTTTAAATTTCTCTAACTTTTTACAAATGATAATTGTGTACATATATTACATTTTCTTGTATAAAGATAAACAAAAACCCCAAAAGACATTAAGGACAGTAAAATTAGCATGAATGGTGAAGTGTTGCAGGTATGAAACCTGAAGTCTGCATATATGCGAGTTACCTGGAGCAAAACAGAAGAGAATATAATCCTAGAAATCATAGAAAAATATGGCTGAAGGAATCTCCAAAGGCCATCTAGTACTATCCCTACTTGAAGCAGGCCCATCAGTGTCCAAATCATCCCAAATATTTGTCTAATCAACATTTTAAAACTCCTAGTGACAGAGATGCCACAACCTCTCTAGATAATCTATACTGACGAGTAACTTCTAATAAAAATGTTTTACAAATATCTAGTCATCCTCGATACAGCATAGCATGAGCAAATATTACTGCTTACACGGTGCATTAAGTAAGCAAGTATTATTATCCTTGCATTGTAAGAAAGTATTATTATTTTTTCTACATACCTCTAGGTAGCAGGGGCTCCGAACGCTGCGGAGCTAGGGCAGATGCAGTGTCCCACAGGAGCACAGGGTGCTCGGCAGCAGACCCAGAAGTGAACCAGAAGCACTTTCAGTCCACTTCCTGATCCACCAGGGAGCATGCAAGGGGGGCCCCTGCACCCCGCCCCAGCTTGGCAACTGGTGCCTCCTGGGTCTGGGGGGGCACCTGGGGTCCTCCTGTGGCCAACTGCCAAGCCAGGGGAGGGGGGGGGCACCCCAGTGCACTCCCCGACAGACCCAGAGGTGAACCAGAAATACTTCCAGTCCACTTCTGGGTTTGCTGCCAACCACGCTGGAGAGCCCCCGCCTCCCTCACCCCCCGTGCTCCTGTAGGATGCTCCATGCACCCCAGCACTGCAGCAATCACAGCTGCGCCTGCTACCTCAAGGTATGTAGAAAATAACTTTTAAAGCTGTGTCTGTGTTCAAATCGCTGAATCAGCACCAAATCTTCAGATTCGGATTCACTGAATCAAATCAGGGCCAGTGATCCAAATCAACAGATTGAATCACTGTCCCTGATTCAGGCCATATCTGAATCCAAATAAAACAGGGCCCATTTTGCGCAGCCCTAGCAAGCAGTTCCTGAAACTCACTGGAAAGGGAATATAGTTCTGCACTAGACTTGTAGACAACACTGCCAGGTGACTTGGTACTAATTTGTAGAAATATTGATGTCTATATTATACAATCTCTTAAAATTATAGCAACATTTTGAAAATTTCATAAACTGTGTAAGTGATTTAGGGGGATTTTAAATCCCCATGAAAAAGTCAATTTAAGATTTATACCCTTAAGCCAGTTGGATCCCATTTAAAAACTTATCTTAAGAGTGTACGGTTATTGGTATTAACTCTTCTAGTCTATTTGAACAAGGAAAATGTTTGGTGTTATTATTTATATATTGTAATGTCTTCCTGTAGCTAAAATAATAAACTGTAGTCCACAGTAATTCTGAGAGCTCCTTGCTGTTTAACAAATCACATAAACATTTGAATTGTACAAGCAGCACAAAATACATTCTATCATTTCTGAAAAACATCAAATTGAAAAATACCTTAGATACAAGCTTATTAAAACAAGTAAGATGTTGAAACAATTGCTGCTAATCAGACCAAACTCCAATCTCTTTGAAGTTAATGTCAACATTTCTGTTGACTTAAATGTAATAAGAACACTTGCCTAGTCCTCACTAGCAGTGAATATAAGAAAGAGGTTTTTTCCCTCATTTAATCTACTTGTCACTTGATGGTGCATCTCATAACACTATCCATCACAAATCGGGTTATCAAGGAATGGACTGTAATGCGAGGATGGCAACACTATACATTTTGCAGATAAGTCATTCAAGTATTAGCATTTATTTAAATTTTACAGTTAATATTGTTTACCTCAAATTATTATTATTGCTGTGGTCAAAAGTGATCTTTACAAATCCAAGAGAAAATACCAAAAAAGTTAGAAACCAGTGGAAACCCACAGAATGATAATACAGAAATAAATTTCTAAAGAAACCTTTATTGCCATTCCATTATTTTTAGCAACCATGCCTCAGGATAACCATAAGACAGATCATCATGGGGCTTCTTTTGTGATACCCTTTACTGAATCGACTGTGCAGCTGGGAGAGGTACTTGTCAAGCTTTCAGATACAAAGCATCATTTTTGAGGTCTCAGGACCCAGCTTCTCCCAACTAAAATAAAAGATATCACAAAAAACCCTTTCCCAAAATATTTTTCCTGGACCATCACAGCTACAACAACCCTCCAATCCTACTGCAGCATGAAGGATATTGAAAATATACAATATGACCTTAAGAATGGTGCTTTGGATCCCAAAGTTTGTCAAATATCTGCCCCAACTGTAGTTGGTTCAATAAAGAGTAACATTTAAAAAACAAAACAAAAAAACCACCACACACATACCTTTGCATACATTTCCTCAATCATAACAGTCACAATAACACTCCAACCGCAGGAAATATCCTCAGGTAACGTATATTTTCATAGCTCCAGGGATTGCAACTACATATGACAATTTACACATATCGAAAATCCAACACCATTGGTCTATCAGTCACAACTTACAGCTGAATTTGTATAGTTGTATTCCACTAGTATATTTCTGGCACAATTGTTGATGTGTTTAAAACGATCTGGTCCTAACAGGATTCCTCCATACCAGCGGGATACCACAACCAAAACATTACGGACATGCAAAATCTGTATAAAATAAAAGTTTATGTATCAACAGTAAAACTAGTATATTGTGCATTGAAGGATTTCCTTCCCCAAAGGAACTCAGATATTTAAAGGGATTTTTATCAAGTCACATTTATTATTTTTAAATATGTGTTCTTTGTATTGCAGTCTGAATCCCCATTATTTCTCCCCAATCTCTTTTTATTACTTTCAAATGCTGACAGGTACAAATGAATGTATTCTCAGAAAAAAACTAACTCCACTAGTTTGTATTACCAGTTTGTATATATTTTACACGTTTCTATTTGCTTGTATACAACTTCATTTATTCCTCAGTTAGACATGCTTAAGGATAAATATCAGGAACATGGCAAAAGAAAGGTTTCAAGTATATACTTGATTTAAATAACTCCTGGAAATGTTAAATCGCTTCTACAAGAATTGATTAATTTTCAATTTGGGTTCAATAGGTGGAGCTGCACCTGTAATTAGCTCATTGGGATTCTTTTTAATTCTTTATAAACACAATTTTTTGCAGGAGGCTAATTTTCACTATGGTTAAATCTTATGCAAATTTATTTGTACAAGACAATCATGCTTGCTATTTCCAGCTACAATTTCCTAAAATGTTTAGATTTTGAAATAAAAATACACTTAAAAACCAGAAGTCAACATACATAAGAAGTCTGGGTAAAATACAAAATACTCTTTCCTGAGAAAGTCATGTGCCTAACTTTCATCGAATGTTGATAAGATTTGGTGCCTAACTCCCTTAGGTCCCTTTGAAAATCTTTCCCTGAACTTCTTTGAAGATTCAAAGCACAAACCATAGGTAATGATTAATATATTGGACTCAATTATTTTCTGACGTATTCATGAACTTCAATGGAGTAACAGTACTGTAACCTGAGGCATAAAATTTGAAGCTGTATAACAAATGGACCCATAAGTAAGCCAGTATAATTACATGTTCAGTGGCTCAAGCATCCTTAGCCCAGATAAGCATGTACGACCTGAAAAGGTGTCCTCATTTATGTAATTGTAAAAACATATCAGATTGAATACTTAAATATTCCAATACAGGAAAAGTTAAGGAAATTATCTTTAAAAGATTGTTTTGGGCTGTTTATGCAAAATTCACATTCACAGCAAGTTGTCATAGCAAGCAGATACCAAGATAACTTTTGAATTCTCAGTTTTAACTTTAACCGAAAAGGGATAGCTATCTTGATTGAAATGTTCTTAGCTTATCTTACACAAGATAAGAATGCTATTGCAAAAAAGGCTACATGGATCTTCCGTGATTAAGAAACATGCCCATTTTTTGTTGCGTAGCTTTTACGATGCAATGTCTAGTTGGCACTTTACTGCAAACTGTCTTTATTCAAAAGGATGTGGAAAGGAAGGACTAGAGCATATTTAACCTCATGCAGTTAATCCTCTTTTCCATGGACAGCTATTTGTCAAGTAATACTTCTCCCTCAGTTCCTTCAACGGCAGAGGCTAATTTAATCTACTTTGTAATGTTGGGTGGAGTATCCTTAGGCCAGAGATAAGAAAATCAGAGAATTAAGAGAGAATTTATGGTTTAAATTCTTGACACATCGTTTAAAAAAAAAACAGAGATTGGACATGTTGAAAATGATATACTAACTTATAAATGCCATAAAATCTCATATAGAAGCAATAACTATAGCAACAGAAGAAGTGGTTTAACTTGCATAATATTTCAGTGAGTATCATCAATCATAAGTGTTTTTAAGAAGGAAATCAAGAGAACTCAGTGACCAGCTAACTTTGACTGTTTGCTACTCCTATATTACCTTATCTTTGGGAATTGTGCTTTTATGATCCATACAGAATTATTCTTTCAAAACACACTCTCCAGTAACTAAGATTAAACATTACTGTCCATATGGCTGATAGGCACTGAATCTTGAGAAATCATACTTAATGTCACTTGATTGTGTGATATTTGTGGAATGTTGAAAGCCCCGGTGCACTTTTAAGAGCTACTAAATTCACACTGTTTACAGACAAAGAATGTGCACACGTTCAAAACAACTCTCGGAGTAAGCAAGCTATCACTAACTACAACGTCTACAAAAACTAATTTTTCATGACTATACTTTAATTACACAAACACTGATATCCAGTGTACTTTCTTGTATATTTTGCATAAAATAGGATTGGCCATGAGCTAACAAGGAAGGTTTCAAAAACTTCCAAATTAAAAAATGGCAAACATTAAAACAAGTACTGGAATGTCACTTAACTGCTGATCGACAAAATAAGCATTTTATGAAATAATCCTGTGTAAGAGGGGGAATTACTAGGGATTATACGTAAATGGTAGAACTGATGAACTAGAAGTGAACATTTCAAGAAAATTGTGAGTATTCTGTGTGGCTGTGTGTTAAAGGGGCAAATGGGTGTAAATGTTGCTTAAGCCTGTAATATACCATCATTACTGGTTTTCATTTTAAAATGCTGAAATAATACACAAAAAAAAATTAACAGTTCCTATTGTGAGGGAACTTCTAAAATTAATTTATGTGAACATGAGGCTAAGAATCCAGGGTGGAGCCCCATCTCCTTTATTTAAAAGTGCTACTCGCATGCTTTAGATACAAGTCCCTATTTTATCAAGAAATTAATAATAATGAGAAATTAAGTCAACTGACTTCTCCTGTAAATAAGGATGTCCTCTAGTGCCCAACATCTTTCCTATACTTGCTTTGCCTTTCACCTTGATTCTTTTGTGCTACAAAAGGTATAGGGAGTCAGTTTAATAGGGAGTCAGTTCAATTCTTCTCTTAAAACGGACAGACTGTCAAAACTGTATATGAAATACAACCTACTTTGTCTGTGGCACTACACAAGTAAAGTCTATATCCCCAAGAGCTGGAAGGCCAAGTTTGACAAGCTATACTTTCTTCTGTTTCACTTCTTTGAAAAGTCAAGTAATATACAGAATACCCTCATATGATAGGCTATGTACACAGTAAGAATTAAGACCAGCATAGGACTTAAAGCAGCAAGATTTTGTTAAACTTTTCTGATTTTAAAGAGAAATGTAAAACTATCTAGGGCATTTTTACACATGCAGTGGGATGCGGCGCCAGGCATTTTAATTAGCAAGCCTCACTAATTAAAAGCACCTTCACATCACATGCATCAGCATCCCCGTGCTGAAAAAATGGCAGCGGAACATTTTGAAATAAAGCTTATCGAATGTGTTTTATTTAAAGGCACCCCACTGCCATTTTTCAGTGTGGTGACACTAATACATGACTCAGAAGGCTGCCAGAGTGCAACTTGCATGTTCCAGAAGACTTGATTAATCAAGTTTGCTCTGATGCACTGGATTTCCAGTGTGTCAGAACAGTCTCCTCACACACGTACAGGAGCCGATAAAACAAAATTTGTTGCCTTTTAACCTGCATAAGATGGAGGAGGCGTCCGCCTGCAGCAGTCTCCCCATCATCCTCACAATCCTGTAAGTATGTCTGCTTATCTTCACAGTATATTCTAAAAATAAACAGCATTAGATGCAATGCAAAATATTATTAAAGACTTCTAGGATATCTTAGAACAGTTTCATAAACACTCTATCAATGTTGCTTTTTCATAATAGATATATGCACGAAAACAGGATGAGCCTTGAGGTAAATAAATATATTTGTGGTTTACATCAAGGAACAAATGTCTGGTGGCTGTCTTTACAGGCTTTTACAAATGCACTGACTCCGTCAAGTAAATTGGCAATTGACTATCATGAAGTAAAATCACCTAGTCTAGGCAGTCTCAGCTTAACTAGATCTGAAGAATTTTGGCAAGTAACTTCGAATTAAAATGTTTTACAAATATCAAGTCATCCTTAATACAGCATTGCATGAGCAAATATTACTGCTTACACAGTGCATTAAGTAATCAAGTATTATTGCTTGCACTGTAAGAAAGTATTATTATCCTATATTTCAAAGATAGAGAACCAAAAAAATCCATAAAATTTAAGACTTACCCAGCATGAAAAGGGAGTCTATGGAAGAGGCAAGACTACAAACCAGGTGACCAAATTTCAAATTAAATACTTTCACATCAAAACCACCTTAATCTCTTATGATTCTGTTATGATCCTGTTAGAAGTGATCCCCAAAGTGATATCAGATATTACCCTTACCAGATATTACCAGATGGGTTTTATGGATACCTTATTGGATATTACCTCCAAAATTACATCAGAGACAAAAAGAAGTTCTATATCAGGAAGAGATTCCAGGAAACTCTAGGACTTCTGGTAAAACAACCATTGATTTCAATGAAGTCGAGATTTTCATCGCCAGTCTGAAACTACTCCTGAGATTTACCTCCAAACTCCCCATTCTACTTTCTGCCAGGACCAGCTTTGTACATGGACATTACAAGAACTATACACCCCAGAGCAGTTAATGTATATGAAAGCAGAATGGTTTCAATCCAGTTTCAAAAATAAAATCCTCTGCACAACTGGTGTCTGACTGCTTGCTTCCTAAATGATTTCATAACTTTGTAACATTGTAACTTTGTACTTAAGAAGTCATGTTAGCAAAATAGGGTTTTTATGTTGCTTTTAAGAAAATTTGGTGACACAAAGTGACAAGTGCCAGGTAGGCAGCAATAAGAAATGAAACTCTCTCATCACAGACAGATGCAGCAGAGATGAACATTTAAGTCCTAAATATTCTTAAAGTACACATCTCCATTTCCTACAGCCATACTGCTGCCACATGTGAGAGGACTGGTCAGTATCCACCCCTGGTGCTACAGATCACAGGCTTCTTTGCTAATTGAGCTCTGGGGGTTTGGATTCCTCCCTCCCCCCCCACCACTTCCCCTCCCAATTTCACTAGGATCTAATAAACTCTGTACGAGCAGGGTTGTTTTTATCTCAATATTCCAAAGATGCATGAGTAGATACAGAAAAAATGATGATGTAGGGTGCTCTCAGAGCACATGCTGTCACACTGTAGGTACTCTAATGCTTTGTTTAAATCCAGATGCATTTTAAGAGTCATGAACCTATATTTAAAGTTTCTAGCTTTCCCTTTATTTTACATCTCTGATCTCATGATTTCTATACGTTCATATACCAATAATGAATATTAACACATTTCATGTACAGTTATGGCTGACTAAGAAATATGCCAAAAATTGATGTAATTGGCCAAGAGAATAATTTATTTGAGAGATTCCCTCCGAACAGTGTTTTACTTCTTCGACACCTCTCAAAAGCTTGCAAAAGAGCGTTGAAAGTTCTTTAATCACAGCTTACCGATAGGCATATATGTTGTGTGTAGCATTCTCTATTTTCTTATTCTCATACAATTTGTCCAGAACTGTTTTCACCTGAAAAAACAACAAATTTTCATCTTTTAAGAGGATATTTTCTTATGTAGGATTAGTTAACTAATATTAAATGAACCAATTATCAATCAGTAATTTTACTCTAATAAAAAAAATGTTTGGCTGGTCTTTCGTACAAATTATACAAGTTACTTCTACCCACTTCTCTCTGTGGCTCTGATTCAGGAAAGTACTTTAGCAAATCTTTACCCATATAAATAGTCCCACTGCATTCAGCACTTTATTGAAACAATATGAGAAGCAAGGTTTTTTTTGGTGAAATCATAGAATTATACAGAAGCATGGATGGAAGAGACTTCCAGAGGTCATCTAGTCCAATCCCCTGCCTAAAGAAAGATCATCCCTATCCAAACCATCCCATACAAATGATAATCTCAACTCTATATAAGACTATTATCAAACCTGACACAACACAGACCTAACATGCCAGAGCTAAAGTATGGGAACCACGGCAGCCGATGTCCTGCTTCTATGAAATTCTATCAATATATGCTCAAGCAATCACAGGCAGGTCACACCCCTCCGCTACAGAGGAAAGCAAACCACACCAGCCCACCCCAATATGATCATGGGATAACATTCATTCCTGACCCTAAACATGGCAATTGATTTAACCCTGAGTGGAGGGGTAAGATCCTCTAGCTAGGAACGTCTGGCTTCGGTCTCCGGGGGAGCACTGACACACCCAACCCTGACTGTAGCGGATACCCAATGCTTTTGAGGAAGCCTTAAAAACATCCTGACACAGTAGAAAGGGGGTGGGAGGAGGACAATCATCAAAGCCCAGAAGCTTGGAAAATACCCATAGCAGAACATACACCTAAATCACCCCAACCAGTAGCTGTCCAACCTCTTCTTGAACACCTCCAGCAATTGAGAGTCCAGAACTTTCCAAGGCAGTCTACTCTACTGCCTCAATATTCTAGCAGTGAAGAAGTTATTTCTGGATATCCAGTCAAAACTTACTTTCCTGCAACTTCAAGCCACTGGACCACATCCTCCAATCTGCAGCAAGAGAGAAAAAGTCCTTTTTCTCTTCTTTATGGCAGTCCTTCAAGTATCTGAAGGCTGCTATCATGTCCCCTCTTAAGTGTCTTTTCCACAAGCTGAACATGCCTAGCTCCTTCAGCATCTCCTTGACTTGCTTTCCAAACCCTTTATCCTCTTCACTGCACACCTCTGAACTGCTGGATCTTCTTCTACTGGACCCAACAGTATAGTTGGGGAAAAATGTTAAACAAGTTTTTGCACACAAAGTGCCCTTCCTCAAGTCTCGACTAACATCTCCCAATTGTACATCTGGTCCAATAAGAAATACCACAAAACCCCCTTGCATTCTGCATGTTTCCTGGAGCATCACTGCCATGCTACCACTCCAACCCTATTACTGAGTCAAGGCATATGCAACCAAATTTAAAGCACCCATCATCTAGATCGGTGGTTCTCAACCTTTTTTGTACCAAGACCCATTTGTAAACATCAATGGCTAGTCCTGACCCAGTGCACGCCTCTCTCCTGACCTGCTGCCCCCTTGCCCCAGCCCCACAGTGTGTGGGGTCGGGTCGCAGGGGAGGTATGGAAGCAGCCCCTCACAGGCTGGAACTCTGTCAGCCTGCAAGTAAAAAGCCACCGTTTCCCAAATTTTTCTCCTTTAAAGGAGAATCCTTTTTAAAGTTTGTTCAGAGCCCTTTCATATATTCTTGTGACCCACTTTTGGGTCGTGACCTATGGGTTGAGAAACTGATCTAGATAGATCAGGGTGGTCAAATATATAGCCCACAGAGCCGTTCCAATTCTACTGGTGGGCCAGAGACTTTGGGGGCTTTGCTGCTTGTGGGCATGGCCAACCACAGAATTTGGGGCCCCATTGGACATGGCCATTGGAAGCAGATGGGCAAGCACGGGTTGTGCTGACAGAGCACAGCTCACCCTATGACCATTTCATAGAGTCATAGAAAAATGAGAGTTGGAAAGAACCTCAGGAGGTCATCTACTCCAACCCCCTGCTCCAAGCAAGACCATCCCAGCCAAGGCTTTGTCTACCTGGGTCTTAAAAACCTCCAAGGATGGAGAGTCCACAACCCCTCTGGCTAACCTGTTCCAGTGTTTTACTACCCTCTTAGTGAGAAAAGTTTTCCTAATATCTAACCTAAATTTCTCTTGCTGCAACTTGAGCCCATTGCTCCTTGTTCTGTCATCTGCCACCACTGAGAACAGTCTAGCTCCATCCTCTTTGGAACCACCCTTCAGGTAGCTGAAGGCTGCTATTAAATCCCTCCTCAATCTTCTTTTCTCCAGATGAAATAACCCCAGTTTCCTCAGCCTCTCCTCAGAAGTCATATGCCCCAGCTCCCTAACCATTTTCATTGCCCTCTGCTGGACTCTCTTCAATTTGTCCACATCCATTCTGTATTGGAGGGGCCCAAAACTGGATATAGGACTGCAGATGTGGCCTCACCAGTGCCAAATACAAGGGAATAATCACTTCCCTCGATCTGCTGGCAACACTCCTAGTAATGCAGCCCAGTATGCCATTAGCCTTCTTCACAACAAGGACACACTGTTGATTCATTCAGCTTACTGTCCCCCAGGTCCTTTTCTGCAGAGCTGCTGCTTAGTACAGGCTGGGAACCAACTGGCTGAGCCATGGCATTGTTCTGTCCTATGTGCAGGACTTTGTCCTTGTCCTTATTGAACCTCATGAGATTTCTTTTGGTCCAATACTTCAATTTGTCAAGGTCTCTCTGAATCCTAGCCCTACCCTCCAGCATATGTACTACTCCCCACAATTTGGTGTCATATCTTCCAGGTCATTGATCAAAATATTGAACAAAAACAGCTCCGGGACCAACCCCTGGGCACTAGACATTGAGCCATTGACTACTACCCTATGAGTCAGAAAACTGGCTGGATCATCAATCTGCTTTAGTCTATTCATCCAATCTGTACTTCTTTAGTTTCCCTGAGAGAATGTTGTGGGAAACTGTATCAAAAGCCTGGCTGAATTTAAGGTACATCACATCCACTAGTCTCACCATATCCACAGAGCCAGTCAGCTCATCATAGAAGGCAATCAGGCTGGTCAGGTATGACCTGCTTTTGGTGAATCCACACGGACTGTTCCTAATCACCTTCTTCTCCTCCAAGGGCTTAGAAAAGGATTCCTTGAGGACCTGCTCCATGATTTTTCCAGGAACTGAGGTGAGCTGATCAGTCTGTAGTTCCCCGGATCCTCCTTCTTCCCTTTTTGAAAGAAAGGGCACTATTATTTACCTTATTCCAATCATCTGGGACCTCTCCTGATCACTGTGAGTTTTTACAGATAATGGCCAGAGGCTCTGCAATCACATCGGCCAACTCCCACAGTGCCCTTGGCAGATATCCAGCCCCATAGCCTTGTACACATCCAGATTTTTTAAATAGTCCCTCACCTGTTCTTTTGCCACTGTTGGCTGCTCACCTCCTCCACAAAGTGTGCTGCTAGGTGCAGTAGTCTGAGAGCTGACCTTGCCTCTAAAGACTAAGGTTAAAAAGGCATTGAGTACTTCAGCCTTCACTGCATCTTCTGTCACTAGGTTGCCTCCCCCATTTAGTAAAGGTCCCACACTTTCCCTGATCCTCCTCTTGTTGCTGACATACTTGTAGAAATCCTTCTTGTTACCCTTCACGTCTCTTACAGCTGCAACTGCAATTGTGCTTTGGCCTTCCTGATTTCATCCCTGCATGCCTGAGAAATACTCCTCCTTGGTTGTCTGTTCAAAGTTCCACTTCTTATAAGCTTTCCTTTTGTGTTTTAGCCTGCTAAGCCAAGCTGGTCCTCTGCCATACTTTCTGATCTTCCTGCACATCGGGATGGTTTGTTTCCTTAAAGTACTGTCAATTCTCCTGGACTCCTCCCCCTCAGACTGGCCTCCCACAGGATACTACCTATGAGCTCCCTGAGTGAGTCAAAGTCTGGTTTTCTGTAGTCCAGGGTCCATACTCTGCTGCTCTCCTTCCTTCTTTTCCTCAGGATCATGAACTCAATTATCTGATGGTCATTGCTGCCCAAGTCACCCTCCACTACTATTCCCTGTTTGTGAACAACTTGTCAGGAAGAACATAGCCCCTAGCTGTCCTCTCTAGCACTTGCACCAGGAAGTTGTCCCCAGCACTCTCCAAAACCTCCCTGGATTGCCTATGCACTGCTGTATTGTCCTCTCAGCAGATGTCAGGGTGACTGAAGTCCCCCATGAGAACCAGGGCCTGTGATCAGGAAACTTAGCTAGCTATCTGCAGAAGACCGCATCTACCACATCCTCCTGGTCTGGCGGTCTACGGCTTACACCCACCACAACATCACCCTTGTTGCTCTCCCCTCTGACCCTAAACCAGAGATTTTCAGCAGGCCTATGTCCAGTTTCACACTGGACCTCTGAGCTGATAGCTCTTTTACATAAACAGCAACTCCTCCTCCTCTTCTCCACCGTCTGTCATTCCTGAACATTTTATACCCATCCATGACAGTGCTCCAGTCATGCAAGCTATCCCACCAAGTCTCTGTTATTCCAAATGCATAGCTCCATGACTGTGTGAGGACTTCTAATTCTGACTACTTGTTTTCCAGGCTCTGTGCATTCATGTAAAAATGCCAGGGGTGGCTGGTGAACTCAGAGATAGGTGGGGCAGGCGGTGTAGGCAGAGGGAGAAAAAAAATGGGGTGGGGGTGGGGGTGGGGCTGAAAATGCGTGCGCACCCCTCCACCCCCAGGAAAGTCTGCGGGGGGAGGGAGAAGAGCCGTGGTGGGGAATGGGTCTGGGACTGGGCAGGGATCAGAGCAGAGTCAGGCCCAGGATTGGGGCCGGAGCCAGGGCCCACTGTGTCCATCCCTTCCCCAGTGCCCGGAGTCATTGCCCGGCGCTGGCACCCCTGTAAATTTGCCAAGGAGAACAGAACATGAACCCCTGTCCCCTTCACCCTTGCACCAAGCCCTGAAGTCACTT